AATCCACCTACCTCCATGCATAGGGTTGCAAGAATGAAATAAAACAATAGATGTAGTTGAGACATCTAATGTCTCTGGTCCCTGTTCTCACTGGTCCCTATTCTAAACCAACCAGCTGCCATCAAGTTAACTGTAGCTCATGGTGACCTGTAGTTGATTGTGCTTATTGTTTTTCAATGGTTAATTTGTCACAAGATTTCCAGACCTCTTTGAAGGTGGTTCTTGTTGGATTTGCCCCTCCAACCTTTTGGTTATCAGAGAAGTATGTTAACCAAGTGCACCACTTAGCACTCTTTTCCCCTGCACCCCCAAAGAAAGAAAAATCAAGCCAGCAACTATTGATTCTAACTTACAGCACTCTGCTATCACAGAGTAGAACTACACTTCACAGGGATTAAATGGCTATGTTCTCAGGAAGCAGATTAAGTATTTCTTGCAAGGCTCCTCTGATGAGTTTGAACTGCCAACTTTTCAGTTAGTAATTGGGTGCTAAACCATTTGTGCCACCCAGAGACTGCTTGCACCATCCCCAAGCTCAAAGCCATTGAATCAACTCTATTTGTTCCAATACTATAAATCTTTATGGGAGCAGACAACCTCAACTTTCTCCAGCAGAGAGGCTGTGGGTTTGGTCTGTCAACCTTTCAGTTAGCAGTTCATCACTTAGCCCACAATGAGTCCAGAATGGAATCCACTTGATTCTTATGCTCAACCTGAATAGAAGATCACTGGTTCACAAGATCAAATCCAAAGACATTTGCAGCTTTCATTATTTAGGTCCTGTCAAACCTCCAACCAAAACTTAATCATTCCTAATCCATTGCCCTATCTTGGCTCCAGTTACACTGAATTAACTGTGTTATCCAATCCATGAAGTCACATGAATTATTCAATCCATGAAGCACATATTCTCACTCTTGTCCCACGATTTTGTAAGTGGTGTTCCTCCTATCATGGAAAGCCTTTCTCATACATTCCCCCCTTAGATCTACTTCTAGTCCCTACCCAAAGTTTTCCCAGATAACCAAGAAAAATTAAATATTCATTTTCTTGGCTGTCAAAACAAAATAAAAATAGTCACAAGAAAGGAAAAGTGACTTTCACATACTTATGTTTTTGCTTTTACACTGCCACACATTTTTTTAATTTATGCAACACATCACAGAGAAAAGTGCAGAGCATATCATATATTACACATAATTTATGTCTCAATATTCTACATTTTCTTTTTCTTTCATTAAAATCAGCTATTGTAAAAAAAAAAAAATCATCCATTCCGATTAGAAAACTTCATTCTCTCTTCTATCATCCCTTTCTATAACCAGGGACTGAAATTGATGTGCATAATTATCAAACATGTATACACATTTTTAGATCTTTACTATATATGCATTGATCAAAAACTGTGTATTTTTAAAGTTTTAGTTAAATAACACCATAGTTTTCACATAATTTTGAAACTTGGAAGTTTTAACTCAACATCATGTTCATATTTATCTGTGCTGCTATATGTAGCTGGAATACACAATACTGAAGTGAATATTATTATACAAACAAAAATCAGTTTATTGTCCCAATCCTCTATGGGTGGTGAGTAGGTGTTTTATATTTTCCATTATTGTAAGCAATGTCATAGTGAGCATATTCACACCTCTTCTTGACCAGTTACCTGGAAATGCTAGATCATAATGTATGAACAGTATCAGCTTTACTTCAAATTAGCCAAGAACCTCCCCAAAGTGACAATACCAATTTACTCACTCAATATTAGAGTTCCTATTTCCTACATAACCATTCTAAAATAGACATTATCAGATGTTTTAATATTGTCAATCATATAAAATTTATTTTTAATATTTGTTTTCTTTGATTATCAATGAAACTTAGTATCCTTTCACATATTGATATTTAGATTTCTATTCCTGAAAATTGCTTAAGCCTAGCAGAAATCAACCCCTTTTCCCCATTACACTGATGATTTATATACACTTTATATTGTATTTGTTGATTTATGGATTTCTTGTTTTTGTTTGCTTGTTTCCTTGTTAGTATGAGGGTAATTAATAAAGGATTACTACAAAATCACACCAACTTTTATTAAAAATATCCAAATAAGAAGCTATTGTGTTTCTGTCTCTCAAACTCTTCCATGAAAATTCCTGCATTCTTTGGCTTACGTCCTGTCAAAACAGCAAAGCCTGATATTCTGGAGGGACTCCAATGGTGTTCCTTGAAAATTTTGAGTTTAGGGAGGGAAAAAAGAAGGCTGACAAGGCAGGATTAGGGTTGTAGGGTACTTAAAGATGGTTTCCCAAGACATTCTTCTAGGTTGACCTTTGCTCCTCTTTAAGAATGGAACAATTGCATTCTCAAAAAGCAAAAAAATAAAAAAATTCCTTGATGTAAGTTTTCTGGCCTTTGCTCATGCAATTTTCAATTTTCTTAAAATGTTTTCCAAACAAACCCCTGTGACGGTCCTGTGTCCTTTAAGAAAATCTACCAAGATTACCCTTTGAAATCGTCCAGCATAAAGCAGTTGCCATATGTGACTGAACTACTGAATTATATGATAGGTGAATTACGTGGCAGTAAACTACAAAACTATTGGGGAGCAGCAGCCAAAACCACTACCACCAAAACAATTGCCACAATCTTCAGAGACGATCTCGCTACATTGAACTGAATTGGCCTAGCAAATCATGAAGGTACCCTAGTAAACCAAAGGAGCCCTGGTGGCTTGGTTATGCTTTGGTTGCTAACTGAAGATAAGAAGTTTGAAACCACCACCTGCTCCTACAGGAGATAGTCAAGGCTTTCTACTCCTGGAAAGAGTTAGTGTCTCTGAGACTGTAACTCCAAAATCTACAGGGTTGCTAGGAGTCCACGTGGACTCAGTGGCAGATAGTTAATGAGAGAAAGACAAGAGTATTACTA